AAACCAACATTGTAGTTTTGATTTTACCTTACATGATAACACACTTGGCTGCAATGGCACATTTAATTTAATACTGTGAAAAGACCAGTTATAACCACTTCACAAGCACAATTGCACCTCATGCCAACATCCTTTTCCAAAGACAGTCAGCAGCGTCTTTCGTCAAAACTGGAAGATAAATCCCCTTTCAACTGTTAACATCAAAAATATTTCTTCATGGTGTGACTGTGATCTCCATATGGAAACCTTGCAGGAAAAGAATTAATGTCAATTGTCAGCTCTTCAAATTTCTTTGGACTTTAACTTGCAGTACCATATCCAGTTTGCTTTCATATTTTGTTTTTTATTCCATGTTGAAGTTGAACACCAAGCTCCAGATATAGCAGGCAGCTTGATCATCTTCGGCCTTGGTATAATATCAGTCCAAGTTCCAGTGGTGGGTATCTTCTAATATTCAAATTAAAATGAAAAGCAATAGGCTTCCTCGGCGCCGACGACGGATTTCACGTTGATAAAAAAGGGAGCTCAAGGTCAGCAAAACTCGGGTTCAAGGAATGGCGGGCGTTGAAATGACTGCTGACGTCATCAAAAAACCGCTAATGGTTAAGAGATAGGGACTAAGCTGGTCCCACCCTGCAAGTAAAGGGAAGAAATTTCTTGAACACCATAAAGCTGCGGGGGTTGCGACCAGGATAAATGGTGGTTTCTGATCCTGGCCGCAAACTTGGCTATCTCAACTCAAAACTAATGTTAAGGTGGGATGGTCCCTTTAACCCTCGCCGGCCGAGGGGGGGGGGGTGCCGCCCCCCCATAGGGTTTTTTCGCGATAGCTCCGAACACGCTGGCGATAGAGAGCTGAAACTTGGCATACCTGACCTTTGATCCAAGCCGCATCTTTTGACACCAACCGCATTTTTGGGTCAGGTCAGGTCACTGACCTATGACGTCATAAGTGAACCTCTGCACGGTCTTCAGATGTCGCAACTTCGCAACGCCCTCACTGCCAGAGGAGATGTCACAGGGAAATGAAACTTGCAGGATCTAGTATCCATTATGAGTCCCACATTTTGTATATCTCGGATTTTTCCTAAAGGTCATATGAGGTCAGGTCATTTTCGTGACCTCACCATTATAAGTCAATGGGGAAAAATGAAAACTGCTATTCTGGCGCCGGGAACGATCTCCAACTATCTCAAGCACACAGAATCGTGATTTGATGCACTCCTTGCAAGGTTAGATGCGTCACTTTTGCAATGTTGACCTTGCGTGACGTCATTTATGACGTCATCAAGGTCAAATTAGTTTTTCGTCAATAACTCTTGATCAAATTGAGCTAGCGAGTCGGGGAAGGCACCAATGGACTCAGGAAGGCCTGCCGAATCGAATGATATGCGACATGACCTCTTTCGACCAACTTCGTGACCTGGGGGTGCTGACCTGACCTTGACCTGAGGTCAACACCCCAAGTTGACCTGACCCGGACAAAAAGTATATCATTCGACGCGCCTGAGCGAGGCGAACACGATGCTGCCAAAATCGGCGCTCTGCGGCCGTTTTTTGCGAAGTTATTCACCAAAACCTGAACCGTACCTTGGGGCACTTGACCTGACCTCAGAGGTCACCGGTTGACCTAGGACCTTAAAATCGGGTACCGATCTCTGCGTCTCGTAACGGCGCACACGCTCGTTTTTTCCGCGACGCGCTAGCTCCACCAGGGGCGAAACGGCGAGGGGGGGGTCGTACCCGCCCCCCCCCCCCTCGGCCGGCGCGTATGTAGAAAACCAATAGGTCCGGCGAGGGTTAAAACACTGATTTCATTGAAAACATCCATAATGTATTGTGCAAGGTTTTGTGTGCAGCACTATAGAGTTAAAAATTCACAATCACTTGTGGTACACTCATATGCCACCAGTGTTCATTTACCGCGGATTTACTTTGTCTGCATCAAATTGTCCACAGAGAAAAATCGTGCTGAACTTCTTACATTGAGTTTGGGGTAAGACGGACAACTATGAATCCGATGGGTCTGTAATTGTGAAAATATTTTTGTTGCTGTAGGAAAAAAAAGAAGCATTTCTAATAAGAATATGTTCGATTCCGATACTCACAGACATGTTAGCAATATTCCTTCGCCCACAGCTTATTTTCGAATAATGAATGTGAAAACAGTTCTACATGGCTTCTGAGCTAGGGCCTATATACGAGCACACGCCTTCTGCACGAATCTCGTATACTGCCATTCCGAAGCACTTGAGACAAACGAGCGACTATCAATGCGGCTAATCTCGGGCATTTGTTGCGAGCTGTGCTGGTCGGTGAAAGAAGCTGGCCGTCTTGCCCTACCCATGTGACCGTCTTACCCCACGGGGTGGGGTAAGACGGTTTTTTGCAAGGTTTTGCAAACATAGCTGCAGTTTATTTGTTGAATCAGGTCTAAGTCTCATCTTCTGGCAAATGGAAGTAAAATGTTTAAAAAAGGTTTTCACTCAGTTTTCCGTCTCTATGATGTTTCTAACCGGCCGAAAAATGGCACCAAAGTTAAGGTGCCCGTCTTACCCCACTTTTCCCTAATTGAATTATTGAGGCTTAACCAAAAAAGTGGGCCAAAGTTGCACGAAACTACGGTAGCTTCACTCCTTCTTCCAAATATTGGACTATTCCCGATGCATGTGGGTGACCCCTTAAGCACGTGCCACGTGCAAAACGAAGAGGTGTCAGTTTTGTAACAATTGCAATATCTCGGTAATTACTGGGCTGATTGCGCTGAAACTTGGCATGTAGGTACGCACCCACTAGGCAATGCATTTGCATGTGCCACAGTTGGGGTGCTGCTGCACGTCCGCAGGGGTCGATTCCAGATCTCGAGAACGGCTTTACCGATTGTGCTCAAATTTGGTACGCGTCTAGGGACCGGTTAGTAGGGTGCCGTGCAAAAGTCAGTTGGGACCGATTTTGCACGTGCGCACGTGCAGGATGCCGCTTCCAGATCTCGAGATCGGCTGGAACGAATGTGCTCAAATTTGGCACATCGCTAGAGACCGGTTAGTAGGGTGCCGTGCACAAGTTAGTTGGGTGTACCCCTCGCAATTTCGTACGTGCAAGGCCCACCCTCTCGCTCGCTCCGTTAGTCGCCCCAAAAGGCGTTATACTGGTAGATATTGGACAGGTATGTGGTAAAGAGCAAGTGATATATGATTTCAAGCTTTTACGACTAGACATCTTAATTCAAGGCAGGCACGTTTTTCGGCTACTAGTCGTTTATTGTTTTCGTTTCGAATTTTCGACCTTCGCATCGAGGTCGTTGTCAAGAAACATACAACAATGACACGTTTTTCGGCTACTAGTCGTTAATTCTTTTCGTTTCGAATATTCAACCTTCGCATCGAGGTTGTTGTCAAGAAACATACAACAATGACGCGTTTTTCGGCTACTAGTCGTTTATTGTTTTGGTTTCGAATTTACGACCTTCGCATCGAGGTCGTTGTCAAGAAACATACAACAATGACACGTTTTTCGGCTACTAGTCGTTTATTGTTTTGGTTTCGAATTTTCGACCTTCGCATCGAGGTCGTTGTCAAGAGACATACAACAATGACACGTTTTTCGGCTACTTGTCGTTTATTGTTTTCGTTTCGAATTTTCGACCTTCGCATCGAGGTCGTTGTCAAGAAACATACAACAATGACACGTTTTTCGGCTACTAGTCGTCTATTGTTTTGGTTTCGAATTTTCGACCTTCGCATCGACATCGTTGTCAAGAAACATACAACAAGCCACAAGGACACTTTTTTCGGCTGCTAGTTGTTTATTGTTTTCGTTTCGAATTTTCGACCTTCGCATCGAGGTCGTTGTCAAGAAACATACAACAATGACACGTTTTTCGGCTACTAGTCGTTTATTGTTTTGGTTTCGAATGTTCGACCTTCGCATCGAGGTCGTTGTCAAGAAACATACAACAATGACACGTTTTTCGGCTACTAGTCGTTTTTGTTTTCGTTTCGAATTTTTGACCTTCGCATTGAGGTCGTTGTCAAGAAACATACAACAATGACACGTTTTTCGGGTACTAGTCGTTTATTGTTTTCGTTTCGAATTTTCGACCTTCGCATCGAGGTCGTTGTCAAGAAACAAACAACAATGACACGTTTTTCGGCTACTAGTCGTTAATTCTTTTCGTTTCGAATATTCAACCTTCGCATCGAGGTTGTTGTCAAGAAACATACAACAATGACGCGTTTTTCGGCTACTAGTCGTTTATTGTTTTGGTTTCGAATTTACGACCTTCGCATCGAGGTCGTTGTCAAGAAACATACAACAATGACACGTTTTTCGGCTACTAGTCGTTTATTGTTTTCGTTTCCAATTTTAAGAAGGGTCACGGGTGTAATTTTCCATCCGCCGTCCTCGCCATCATCGGGACAAACTCATCCGCATCATTCCTCCTAGTCATTCCTCACGCTTCCCTCTCTTGGCTGGGTGTCACCCCCGACACTGACGGTCGGTGGTAGGAGGTCGGATCCATTCCAGGCAGGCCTGCCAAGTCGGAGTCGGAGTCGCTCGGGGTCGGCAGTTTTGTCCGGCGTCGGGGTTGGTGTCGCCAAAATCTTACCGACTCCGACCTTGGAGTCGGCGCTTACACAATACCTTACATTGCATGGCTCAAAGTCATGTCCTACACCTGTTTGCTTGACGATATATTCCGATTGATCTTTCAAAATCAGCTTTTGTTGAAGCTTAGGACACGCCCTTTTTTGGACGAGCGCTGCCGAAGACGGCTGTTGCGTCAAGCCCTGTTTTTTTTTCTGCGTGATATTTAAAAAGTACTTTTTGGGCAATGCAAGACCTTTGAACTCGCCAATGGTCGCTTCAGGTAGGTTCAATACGAATGCGATAACGCCAAAATCAAAAGATCCTCTCTCCATCATCAAGTTCAGCACGTTGGTGCAACACATCCACGCAGGTTTCCTCCTGGATCTCTTGTATTCGCTTTCTGTTCGCAGAACCAGCAATCTGTCATACAGTCGACGCCCGCAGTCGTTCAGTTCAGCAAGAATAGCGTGACTCTTCTGAGCAAGGCCAACAGTGTGATTCAGAGCACCTGCTCGCCTGCGCTGCCGTCCATTCAGGTAATGGCACCACCGGCCGAGCCGCGCGCACACTCCACACGCTGCTGTGTATTTAGTAGCATGATGTCATAGTCTGGTACCAAGAGTACCAGGGCTTTTTTGTTAGTTGCAGCCAGTTCGTTATGGGAAGGTTAGGTGCCTGGGCGAGTGAACTGTACCAGCGAGCTGTGTCGGTGAACTGTGTGTACCAATGAGCCGTACCAGCGACTGTGTCGGTGAACTGTCTGTACCAGGGAGCTGTGTCGGTGAACTGTCTGTACCAGGGAGCTGTGTCGGTGAACTGTCTGTACCAGGGAGCTGTGTCGGTGAACTGTCTGTACCAGGGAGCTGTGTCGGTGAACTGTCTGTACCAGGGAGCTGTGTCGGTGAACTGTCTGTACCAGGGAGCTGTGTCGGTGAACTGTCTGTACCAGCGAGCTGTGTCGGTCAACTGTCTGTACCAGGGAGCTGTGTCGGTGAACTGTCTGTACCAGGGAGCTGTGTCGGTGAACTGTCTGTACCAGGGAGCTGTGTCGGTGAACTGTCTGTACCAGGGAGCTGTGTCGGTGAACTATCTGTACCAGGGAGCTGTACCAGGGAGCTGTGTCGGTGAACTGTCTGTACCAGGGAGCTGTGTCGGTGAACTATCTGTACCAGGGAGCTGTGTCGGTGAACTGTCTGTACCAGGGAGCTGTGTCGGTGAACTGTCTGTACCAGCGAGCTGTGTCGGTGAACTGTCTGTACCAGGGAGCTGTGTCGGTGAACTGTCTGTACCAGGGAGCTGTGTCGGTGAACTGTCTGTACCAGCGAGCTGTGTCGGTGAACTATCTGTACCAGGGAGCTGTGTCGGTGAACCGTCTGTACCAGCGAGCCGTCTGTGTCCAGGTGCTCGACAGTGAGCCCGTGCACGCCGAGGGCGAGGCGGCGCGCCGGCGGCGGGAAATCCTGACGCGCCGCCCCTCCTACCGGAAAATTCTCAGCGACCTTGGCGGCGCAGAGATCTCCGAGGACAGGGGCGACGGAGACGCCGAGACACTCCCGAAGAGCGGCATCGTCAAAGGTCGGTCCCCCCACCGCCCGGGCGCGCCACCTGCAGTCAGCTGTAACACCAGAGAGCCGATGGATGTCGCACCCCGGGCGCGCTCTGAAACCCCGAACATCATCATCGGAGATTGGCAACGCTACAGTAAATGTATATAGTCTACCTGCCGCATTACCATTAGATGGGCGTGCTCACTGTTAGCCGATGTCTGGCACGTATTTATTGATACCGGGCGCCACCTTGTAGCGTTCTGACCAGGCCCCCCCCCCCCGGCGGCGTCTGCAGTGATTCCGACCACCATCCAGCTGCCCATGGCCGACTCAGTGCAGACGCTGCATCCTCTCGCCGTCAGCGTGGCCGGTGCCGGCGGCGGCAACACCGTCCTCCACTACACGCAGGCAGACGGACAGTTCTACGTGCCAGGTGAGCGGCCGTCCACTGTATACACAGTACACACCGACAGACGGACAGCGGCCGTCCACTGTATACACAGTACGCACAGACAGACAGCGGCCGTCCACTGTATACACAGTACACACGGGGAGACGGACAGCGGTCGTCCACTGTATACACAGTACACACCGGGGAGACGGACAGCGGCCGTCCACTGTATACACAGTACGCACAGACGGACAGCGGCCGTCCACTGTATACACAGTACACACGGGGAGACGGACAGCGGCTGTCCAGCACAATCTACTACAGCAGCCAATAGATGACTTAGGACAGGCACATGGGACTACTTTTAAATCTTGTGCGACAGAAGCAGGCAACAGTTCCGATTGCATATAATATGCTATGCATATTGCGGAATTGGGGCTCATATCGGACTCGAAAGATACGAAGTCATACGTCATAGTAACATATTTCTGTCGTGGTCAATTTGCGTAAAAAGTGAAGACCGGGTGATTACCGAGCTACTGTTCTATGCAAATTTTCTGATTCAAACTCGCTCAGGGTTATCGTGCAGGTAAAGGGGGCCCGCCCAGCAGAATGCGTATGAAATATGGAGAGATTCTGAAAAATGGGTGGGGGCCCGCACACTAGGGGGCCCGCTTTGGAAGCGATGACCCCCCCGAAACGAAATCCTGGCTGCGCCACTGGTATACACAGTACACACCGACAGACGGACAGCGGCCGTCCACTGTATACACAGTACACACAGACTGACAGCGGCCGTCCACTGTATACACAGTACACACCGACAGACGGACAGCGGCCGTCCACTGTATACACAGTACGCACGGGGAGACGGACAGAGGCTGTCCACTGTATGTATACACAGTACACACAGACTGACAGCGGCCGTCCACTGTATACACAGTACACACAGACTGACAGCGGCCGTCCACTGTATACACAGTACACACAGACTGACAGCGGCCGTACACTGTATACACAGTGCGCACGGGGAGACGGACAGAGGCTGTCCACTGTATGTATACACAGTACACACAGACTGACAGCGGCCGTCCACTGTATACACAGTACACACAGACTGACAGCGGCCGTACACTGTATACACAGTGCGCACGGGGAGACGGACAGCGGCCGTCCACTGTATACACAGTACACACCGACAGACGGACAGCGGCCGTCCACTGTATACACAGTGCGCACGGGGAGACGGACAGCGGCCGTCCACTGTATACATACACAGTACACACGGGGAGACGGACAGCGGCCGTCCACTGTAAACACAGTAGACACCGACTGACAGCGGCCGTACACTGTATACACAGTACGCACGGGGAGACGGACAGCGGCCGTCCACTGTATACACAGTGCGCACGGGGAGACGGACAGCGGCCGTCCACTGTATACACAGTGCGCACGGGGAGACGGACAGCGGCCGTCCACTGTATACATACACAGTACACACGGGGAGACGGACAGCGGCCGTCCACTGTAAACACAGTAGACACCGACAGACGGACAGCGGCTGTCCACTGTATACACAGTACGCACGGGGAGACGGACAGAGGCCGTCCACTGTATACACAGTGCGCACGGGGAGACGAACAGCGGCCGTCCACTGTATACTCAGTACACATGGCGAGACGGACAGCGGCCGTCCACTGCACAGGGTGTCCGGAAAGTCCTGGCGCCTCTTTTGGACGTCGTCTAACGCGCGATGTGATTTTTGGACTTTAAACCAATCACCACAGATATGACCCCTCGTTCACCGCTCAGCTAGGGGTCGCGTAAATATGACTGAAACCGTTTTCAGTGATAGGTATATGGGCGAAGATGCTCCTTGTCGCTGAGAGCCCGCGCGCGGGGGCCCCTTGCGGCTTGAATGAGGCGCGAGTTGCAGCGCGATGCGGCGTTTCCCGGCGAACGGTTGAACAGGCAAAGGTGCATTCCGGATTGGAAATTTCTTAGAAAATATTCTCACTCAGTTACGACCAGGGTATGCCAAAGCTGCGGAGACTGAAGCAGAATTTCAGCGGCAATCGAAGAAAATCTGGGGTCTGATAGACACAAATGTTCCATCATCTTCGTCAAGGTCAAATAAATGAATGACAAGCTGGTCCACGAGCATAGGTGGCGGAACGGGGAGGGCACCGGGGCACCGTGCCCCCCTTTGATTTGGGCATTTTAACATTACCCCTATGGGCATTGCATGGAAAGAATGGGACCAAAAGTCGGCAGTGCCCCCCCCCCCCCTTAACCCGCGAGTTGCTGGGGGGGGGGGGCGTTAAACGCCTCCACTTTTTTCGCCGGGCCATAGCATAAAAACGGCGCGCCGCAGGCGCGCCAAATTTTTGGTACCTGTAGGAAATTGATTGAAGTTTATTGTGACAAAGTTTCAAAAAAATTGATCGGAAAATTTTTGAGATATCGATGTTTTAGTGACGTCATGATTTCTGAGTTTTCGACCAAAAACGGCATATGTTCAAAAAATCATATAAAATCACAGAATAGACATACAGACATGCCGTAAACGCCATTAGGCTGCCAATACCATGGTCAATCAAATGGCTATCTTCGACTATTGATTATCGTTCCGCGTTTTCCATAATCTTGAACTGAATCTTGGCAATTTTTCGTGACTACTTCACGACCATGATACATGAATTTCTTAAATTGAACTTTTTGAGCCAAACACGTACACTAGGGTGTCCCAAAAAACTTTTTTGTTAATTTTTGACCGGCTGAAGGCTGCCCCCATTCCACTTGGCTGGGATAGGATGCTGACAAAATTTCAAGTGAATCCGAGTAGGTACGTTTAGAGGTTGCGAGCAAATGAACATTTTTATCTCTTCTTAGGTGCATTTTAACATGGCTACTAGGATCGCATGCATGGCATGATTCAGACGGGGCAGAATCGCTCGCACTTTTTCCCTCCAGTCGTTTCAGCTGTTTCCTTGGCGGTTTCCGGAGGTTGGCCACAATTTTCATCTTCAAACTGTCCGCAAGGCGACCATCGACGAGCATCATTCCAGAAACCATCGTTAGGCTCCTGATGGTGCCTGAAGTCGCGGGCAAATGCCGCGACCACTTCACTTCTCTGCAGCTGCGTCTCGGTCGCATCTTTGTTGCCGGTTAACTTAAGATGAAGATCGTCCAGGCACATACACCGGATCAGGATATGGTCAGGTGTGTCGTCTCCTTGCAAACGGCGCACCTCACCGCTGAGTACCGCAGGTCGGGTCACCCTGGGCACTGGGCAGGTCCGCGCCGGGAGGCGGCCGATCCGGTGGATGTACTGGTACGACATACCTACTGCAGTATCCAGCACGTAGTTGATGCCGATAGGCATCCACCGCCTAGCCCTTGCTTACGCCAGAGACTGAGGTGGAGGTCGGCATCCGGTCTCCCCAGATCCTCTTGAAGAAGGAGTCTGGCCATGTCATGCGTCAAGCAGTTGGCCGCCCCTGCTCCGGCACTTGTGATGGCCTTTGCTTCTGCCGGCACCTCCTGCGGGAAGCCGGCTGCTTCTCTGACCAGCTCGTCGTCCCTCTTACGGTCCTACTGCCTAGGCTGAGACGGAATATGACGATCTCCAATTGCCGCCATGTTGAAGCAGCATTGGCATTCCTCTCGAAGACTTTGTAACCTCCTGGTCCATCCATGTTCCTGCTGACGACTCTGGTGGTGGACCCAGGTTTCATCGCGAAATAAACCAAGGAGTTTAAGGAAGGACGACGCAGCCTATCACATGGTCAGCCATAGAGCAAGGGCTCTTAATATCGTCAATGATGCCGCCGAACGGGGAATCTCGCTTATCTAGCGGTACAACACCACCACCAAGTCAGAAGAGCAGAAGCAATACCTGCTTCAGCTAGTGCATCACCATCAGCAGGCGCAGCCCAAGAAAATCAAGGATGGATAGACAAAGAAAGTGTTTCATAGATAGTGCAGTGCTACCTTCTGCTGTAAAATTGTCTAAATACCCTGATTTGTCATGCTTGTTCAATCGGTATATACCTACACATATTATGGAATGGGGTTTGCTCATGGTTAAAAAGTGCACAAGCTCGCAACCTCTAAATATACTCTGATTCCTCTGAAACTCGACCAGTGTCTTCCTTACCGGTAGTGGAACCGGGGCAAACTTCAGCCCCTTGAATATTTCATAGTTTTGTTTTTCCCATGTATGCTTGGGACACCCTAACGTACACATATGATAAAATGAATGTCACCATCGTGTTCTACGCCCCAAATTACCTTTAAAACATGTGTCACAGGCTGCGAATATCAGTTTTGATTTTCGGGGATATGTGCCTACCCGGTTGACCTGACCTTGACCCTGACCTATGCTTGACTGACCCCTACATGGAGCTGACACTATTGTAGGCCTTATAAGATGGATTGTGCACCGTTTTGACAGAGTTTATGGCGAGAGGCGCCCATTGCGAAACCCTGAAGTCCATGCTACTGAAAGCCCGATTTCAGGTGTTTGACCTGACCTTGACCCGACCTGTGACCTCAAAATTCAACTTTAAAGTACTCATCTGAAGCGTCTCGTCGCGTTCTCTCGTTTGCCGCCTCGTGCGTTTCGCTGCGCCTATTGGTTCTCGAGTTATCGGCTGGGGGCGTTTAACGCCCCCCCCCCCCCCAGCAAACGGTGGGTGGCGAAATACCCCAGCAACTGCCGGGTTAATTGAAGGTGTTCCGCCGCTACTGTCCACGAGGGGTTCCTGGGCACGAGAATCAAGGCGGCTTGCCCTAAGGGTCATTTCGCACTTCTGACAAATAAGTCAATATCAACGCCAAACCAAAAGAGATACGGCTTTTTGTGACCCGGCATTAGAAGCAGCAGGTTTTGGGGATCATTGCCATGTAAAGTATCCATGACAGTTGGATAACGACAACTCAAGAAACTCAAGATTACCAACCGATATTTATTTTAAAGTAATTTTAAAAGTAATTTTAATAAAAGTAATTTTAAAAGTAATTTTAAAATAAATATCGGTTGGTAATCTTGAGTTTCTTGAGTTGTCGTTATCATTGCCATGTATAATTTTTGCCAGTTGTAGGTATGTCATAAACGCACGCTAGCGGCGTTTGAACTTGCGAGTATCTGACAGTCATTTTACGACACAGAAAATGTCACGACTTTTGACAATAATACACGACGCCGGTTTTTGACAAAAACATGAAAATGATGTTTTTTCCAGACGCCCCAAACATTTGCCTGACTGGCCATATTACGATTTGTTCGGTTAGGTGAGCTTGAAATTTGGACCTTTTCGATATTTATGGCCATTCGTGAACCCCATTTGCATCACTGTGCGCGGGTGGATTGGTGATTGTCGTCCAAAGGAATGGTTAAAGGGACCCTCCCACCTTAACATTAGATTTGAGTTGAGATAGCCAAAATGGGGTCCCTGGCTCACAATTACCGGTTTCGGCACTCACAACATCGAGAATTGCCTTAAATCGGAAATATTGAATTTCAAAATTGCAGCATTTTGATTCAGAGAGGCTAATGCATAGGAATACCCCTCTGAATGTGTGACGTCAGCGCCGATATCTAACGATTTTTAAATGTTTGACTAAAACGTTTTGTAGCACGCGGTGGTATATGCTACGTTGCGCGCAACAAATGCCGCACTTTTAAATAAAGTCGCTAGGAACAGCGGAGATCCCAAAAAGTAAACAAAAGTAAAAGTCTAATATCTTGGAAACCTGTGAATATTTTTTGATGAAATTTGGTAGATATTCGTTTTCACTCTTTCTGAATCGAGCGATATCACTTTCATGCCAATTCATAAACTTTTTTGAAGGTGGGAGGGTCCCTTTAAAGAGAATCGTTCACTGTCCTAAAATTAGGATTTTTTCAATGGATTTACGATTTTATTTGCTCAAAATGATCAGAAAATTAAATAAAACCTTTTTGTTTATAAGAAATATTATTTTATATGTTCTGATATAGGAAGAACTATATTATATATAAAATAATCAGTCCGAGCCTGTACCGCTCATTGCGAGCCTGTACCGCTCGGTCCGGGTCTGTGCCGCTGGGTGCGGGTCTGTGCCGTCCGCTGACCCGCCGTCCGGGTCTGTGCCACTGCCGTCCGCTGACCCGCCGTCCGGGTCTGTGCCGTCCGCTGACCCGCCGTCCGGGTCTGTGCCACTGCCGTCCGCTGACCCGCCGTCCGGGTCTGTGCCGTCCGCTGACCCGCCGTCCGGGTCTGTGCCACTGCCGTCCGCTGACCCGCCGTCCGGGTCTGTGCCGTCCGCTGACCCGCCGTCCGGGTCTGTGCCACTGCCGTCCGCTGACCCGCCGTCCGGGTCTGTGCCACTGCCGTCCGCTGACCCGCCGTCCGGGTCTGTGCCACTGCCGTCCGCTGACCCGCCGTCCGGGTCTGTGCCGTCCGCTGACCCGCCGTCCGGGTCTGTGCCACTGCCGTCCGCCGACCCGCCGTCCGGGTCTGTGCCACTGCCGTCCGCTGACCCGCCGTCCGGGTCTGTCCCCAGTGTCGCTGCCGACCGTGTCCGGTGGTCTGAAGCTGGACCAGACCAGCAACATGGTTCTGACCACCGCCTCGCCAGCCGGCAGTGATGTGATCGAGGAGGTCACCCATAAACGCGAGACTCGACTCTACAAGAACAGGTGAGACAAAAAGAGCCAAAGGTGTATTGGCGACAGATGCTGCACAGGGTGTCCCATAACTCATCTTGTACTTGCGGTCGCTGACTGCTGTGTCCCTCACCTGTACTTGCGGTCGCTGTGTGCCCTGAGTTTGCTGTCGCTCACTGCCTTCTGTCCTACATTTGCTGTCGCTGACTGCGGTGTCCCCTGTGTTTGCTGTCGCTGACTGTTTTGTTCCCGCGTACCCTGTGTTTGCTGTCGCTGACTGTTTTGTTCCCGCGTACCCTGTGTTTGCTGCCGCTGACTGCGGTGTCCCCTGTTTTTGTTGTCGCTGACTGTTGTGTTCCCGCGTACCCTGTGTTTGCTGTCGCTGACTGTTGTGTTCCCGCGTATCCTGTGTTTGCTGCCGCTGATTTCTGTTACTGACTGCCGTCGACTGTCTCCTTGCCAGGGAGGCGGCGCGCGAGTGTCGTCGGAAGAAGAAGGAGTACATCAAGTGTCTGGAGAGCCGGGTGGCCGTGCTGGAGAACCAGAACAAGGCACTCATCGAGGAGCTCAAGTCGCTCAAGGAGCTCTACTGTCAGAATGAGGCGCCGTGAGCGGCTGGGCGGGGACAGCGGCAGCCTGTGCTGCTGTCCGCCGGCAGTGGGCTGTGCTGCTGCTGTCCGCCGGCAGTGAGCTGTGCTGCTGTCCGCCGGCAGTGGGCTGTGCTGCTGTCCGCCGGCAGTGAGCTGTGCTGCTGTCCGTGGACAGCGGCAGGCTGTGCTGCTGTCCGCCGGCAGTGGGCTGTGCTGCTGCTGTCCGTGGACAGCGGCAGGCTGTGCTGCTGCTGTCCGCTGGCAGTGGGCTGTGCTGCTGCTGGCAGTGGGCTGTGCTGCTGTCCGCCGGCAGTGGGCTGTGCTGCTGTCCGCCGGCAGTGAGCTGTGCGGCGGGTGCTGCCGTGCTGATGGATATGGCCGGCCGGCGGCCGCGCACTGTACCTGAGCCGCGGATGTCGGCACCTGATGAGGGGTGGGGTGGGGGAGGGGGGCTATCCTGGGGCTGGGGGTGCGCGGCGGCGTCCCAATGCCCGTTCCGGCTGGCTCTGTGAGCCGTCGGCGGCGGTGTGGTACGCGTGTGGTAGTCGGCTGTGAGCTGTCAGCAGTCGGCCGCAGACGAGTCGGGCCGGCACGGCAGGACTGACCACCTGAGAGACACCTGCCAAGGCTTCAGTTCATTGTCACCGCCGGTACCTTAGAATGCCATAGGTTTCAGCTTTGTTTATAGCAGGCTGCCCAAACGGGTGCTCCATCACTGCAGGGCCTGCATTGCTTCTCCTGGCCATACGTTTTAACTGCCACTGAGTGCAGGAGATCTGCGTTGCTGGGGTTATTGATGTTGGAGGCTGGCGAGTGGCGACGCTGGTCAGAGTTCACCGTCTTAATGGCAATTCATTTGTACATACTGGACACGGGCAACACATGCACGCATGAACATGTGACCTGAATCGTAGCATTTTGCATAGTAGGGGTTGCGGACGACGCTGTGTGCTGCTCCAAAGGAGAGCGGCTGCTTTGGGTCCTGTGTACCGAGCGCCATCCGAGCCCGCGCCGAGCGCCGCTCGCGCCAGTCGGTCGCTGCCAGCGATGGGGGGGGGGGGGGGTTGGTCGCGCGCGTTCTGCGGCCCTTGTGTCGAAGACCGTGTATTTCCAGCGCGCCTGACACTCTGGGGTTTGAATACAGTTGACAATACGAGCCAGACTGGTGTCGTCATTACCACGGTATTCCGTTACATTAAATCATATTACGTTTTTCGAAAGTGTGAAAATTTTGGTGTCTATAGGGCAATACCTACATACATCCATGTTTTGGTTTTATTGGTACGAAATTTTCAAAAATCCAAGATGGTAAGGGAGAGTGGGGTAACATGCCCCGGGTGGGAAAGACACCGTCCCTCTAGCGGCAAAACAGAAATCGAACCTGGAAATTAATGTTCTTAGCGTAAAACGGACACCTTCCATGTTTACTGTACAAAAATTTGCCAAGTTCAGTTGGGCAAAGGTGGGCTGGAGGTCGCTTGTTTCCTGTGCTGATTTCAAAAATATTTTAGCGTCAAAACATTATGAATATCAAAGAAAGTATATAATTTTTAAGTCCCTTGCTATTGTGATGCATTTACCTACCATGAACAATCAAATGGTTATCTTCGATTATTGATTATCGTTCCGCATTTTCCAAAATCTTGAACTGAAACTTGGCAATTTCTCGTGACTACTTCACGACCATGATACATGCATTTCTTAAATTGAACTTTTTGAACCAAACACGTACACATATGATAAAATGAACGTCACCATCGTGTTCTACGCCCAAAATTACGCATAAAAGATGTGTCACAGACTGCGAATATCAGTTTTGATTTTCGGGGATATGTGCCTACCCGTTTGACCTGACCTTGACCCTGACCTATGCTTGACTAGCCCCTACATGGAGCTGACACTCTCGTAGGCCTTATATGAAGGATTGTGCACCGTTTTGACAGAGTTTATGACGAGAGGCGCCCATTGCAAAGTCCTGAAGTCCATGCTACTGAAAGCCCGATTTCACGTGTTTGACCTGACCTTGACCCGACCTGTGACCTCAAAATTAAACTTAAAAGTACTCATCTGAAGCGTATCGTCGCGTTCTTTCGTTTGCCGCCTCGTGCGTTTCACTGCACCTATTGGTTCTCGAGTTATCGCCTGGGGGCGTTTAACGCCCCCCCCCCCCCCAGCAAACGGCGGGTGGCTAAATACCCCAGAGCAACTGTCGGGTTAACGTGTGTCGCTATTTGGCGCAGGAGCCGAGGAGGGGAGAGGGGGGAGGTGACACCCTTTTGAATTCTACACCTGTGAAAGATGTTTCTCTGTTCCTACAATAGGTAGGTACCTACTGCATGCGTGACAGCTCTGCCCGTAAAACATTTTTGCTTGTTAACAATCTAGGCTCTGGCCGCCGACTGACAAGTCCGATCAGGCTCATTTTTGGTTTACGCACTCCTTGATATATGCCTTAGATACCCTGAGGGTAACGAACTTTTACTTAGATTTTTTTTTTCAGGTCAAGGCCAGGTCATCCTAGGTCACGAAAATTGTATATGATGTATCGGTAACGTGATGCATGTTTTATGGTCCATTTTACACGTAGATTTCGAAAATAATATCGTCTGTGTCATTTAAGGTCATTTCAGCTGAATTTACCGGAGGTCAGGTCAATTCAGGTCAGAAAAGGTCAAATTTTGAAAATGAATTTTTTCAACAAAAAGGTGCATATCAGATGCACTTTGTGCTCAGGAACACGATGGTGCCATTTATAATGTTGTACGATGTCAAAAACGTACTGAAAAATGGTTTTGAAAAATGTAAAATTGTAAAATTTTGACAATAATGCAAATAACTTGGCTTTTTTGAATATATTGGGCTAAAACTTCCTAGAGTAGTTAATCAGTGTGTGTTCTATCACATATTTTCCTTTTTTTTGCGAAAAATCAAAAACTTTTGCAAAAAATCAAAAAATATATATTTTTTGTAATTGTAAACACATATTTTTCCAAAAATTTCAAAATTTCGAAAATTCGAGATAGCAGTTTGATAGCTACGTTTATTTGTACAGTCGTGTACAGGTTGATGGTCCCCTACTCTATCCACCGGGTTCATATGGCTCAGCATTGGCAGCAGCCGCCTGGTACCGGTAGGCTGTGCCGCATGACCCGAGAGTGAAGCGGCACAGCCTACCCACACTGTATGACACCGGCTCGGGTCGCCTGGTAGAGCGATCTTACCGGACGCTGCGTTACACCGGCTGGGGGAGGAGGGGGGTAAGGGTCAGGCCTGTCTATTTGGCTCGGCTCGGTGGATGAGGCGGGCTGGAGTGTGGTGTGGGGCGGGGGTGATGTGGGGAGGGAGTGAGCGGACCTGGGGCTGGGTGTGTGTGGTCACTTGTCGCATAGAACCGATCGTAATCCACCCTCCAAAAATTCGTTTTAGAGATATTCACAAAACCCGGGGGGTTCAAACACCCAACTCCCAAGTGGGGTGCGGAAGGACAGGTAAGGGTCCATACGGTCTCCTCATGCATTGCAGCAAAGAAAGAAAGAAAACAGACCTGTCACCAAATAATCTTTCTGAAAAGTGGACTAATCGCATAGCCTCGGACACAGAAATAAACACCCAGCACGCGAAGCGTCTCGAACCGGGCCTCTCACTACCGGTCAGTTTGACAGTCTAGCACTCCTACGTTGAGCTACACCGGATGGCGGCCACGGCCGGGGCAAAGTCTGGCCGGGCGGGCGGCGGGGCCGGGAGGTCGGCAGCAAAGTCAATGAATGTTTTTGTGGTTTCGGGTGCCGGTCGCTCTAGCTTGGTGGAATGATGATGGATCATTGGCAAAACCTTCAACGTGGAGTCCCGGTTCGAGCCTCATCGGGGCTCCGGCTACTTTTCCGAGTTAGTATCTGGTTTGATTTTAGTGGTTGCGAGCCATTTATACGGTTTTATATCTACATGTCGATTGTCGATTGATTGATTGATTCATTCATTCGTTCAATTAATACATGTCGACATTTAGCATACGAATTGACATCCAGGATCAATCCGATCAATCTACCATTTTCATAAGCGTATATTGCCTAAATATCATGCATATATGTGACACAAGACCTATGGTTGCCTCGATACCATGCCAAAGCACGTTTTGCACAATGCACAAGTGAATTATATTCGCTGGGTCTTCCGTGCATTGTGCTTAGCAAAAACAGGAATGCAATTGTTAAGCGACGCAAAATGTGCAATGCAGCAAGTGACCACACACACACCCGCCCAGCCCCCATGGTCCACCAACACGCCCCACACCACTCGCCAGCCCACGCCAACCACCGAGACGAGCCCCTCCCCCCGCGCTGGTCTGACGCGACAGCTGGTCTACAAAGCGCTCCACCCGGCGACCCGAGCCGATGTCAAACGGCGTGGGTAGACTGTGCCGCTTCACTCTCGGGTCATGCGGCACAGCCTACCGGTACCAGGCGGCTGCTGCCAATGCTGAGCCATAGGAACCCGGTGGATAAAGAGTAGGGGACCATCAACCTGGACACGACTGTACATACCTAGTCCAGTGATGCAAATAAATTGGATCAAGCTTTAAAACTAAGCTCTTGAGATTGTTTGCCGTAATTCAATATTTTGCATCAAATTCGGCCGACATGACGTCACTCTGGCGTCATTTCCTGCCAAACTATGGTAGCTAGAAAGTTGAAATTTTGACACAAGGTGTCAAATTGATGCCACTGAGGGTATTGCAAGTTTCGTGTTGATCCGTGAAACGGTTTAGAAGATATTGCCGAAAAACGGGAGGGGGGGGGCTCTGTAGAGCCCCCCCAGTCATGCGCGGGTTAATAGATATAGGCAGAAAATAAGAGGGGGCCGTTTTACCCTTTCCCTACTGGGCGCGGCGCGGGCTTACACAATGAAACACCAGTCATTTCCAGTCGTTGAGCGCTGTTCTCGGGCGGGCCGCCGATTCCTGGTGACGTCGCGGGGGACGATGCCAGGGGTGGGGTGTGGGGGTGTGGGGGGGGGGCGTCCGGTCACCGCGGACAGGGTACGCTCGCTGTGTATACATACACAGGCCGAGTGGAGAGGGCGGTGCTGACGCTCAGCGCCGAGCGTGGCAGTGAGAGCGGCCTGACTGTCAGCGCTGTGTCCACTGAGGCTGTGTCCACTGAGCGGCGTGTCCCCTGAGCGGCGTGTCCGCTGAGCGCTGTGTCCACTGAGGCTGTGTCCACTGAGCGGCGTGTCCCCTGAGCGGCGTGTCCGCTGAGCGCTGTGTCCGGGGGGCGCTGTGTCCTGCGCCGGGCGGACGACCACCAGAGTAGGGACACAGTGAGCTGAGCAGGACCGCAGCAGGGACAGCAGCCACCGGAGCAGCGGCCGCGCTGCTGACTAGCGCAGGTAAGAGGGCAGTGGGTACACCGCGCATATACCGGAGCGGAGAGGGCACACCACGGAGATAAGGGGAGAGGGCACACCACGGAGATAAGGGGAGAGGGCAAACCACGGAGATAAGGGGAGAGGGCACACCACGGAGATAAGGGGAGAGGGCACACCACGGAGATAAGGGGAGAGGGCACACCACGGAGTTAAGGGGAGAGGGCACACCACGGAGATAAGGGGAGAGGGCACACCACGGAGATAAGGGGAGAGGGCACATCACGGAGATAAGGGAAGAGGGCACACCACGGAGATAAGGGGAGAGGGCACACCACGGGAAGTAAGGGTATGCCGCGGGAGGGGAGAGGGTTTATAAGGTGACGATTAGCTTATGTTCTGCCGAAATCACTGATATTATTTGCATATGGATCTGTGCAAGATTTCCCGCCTTCTAGCACATTTTCTGCTTCGCGCCTACGCTGTGAAGTGTGTAAGAAGCACTAAGCATTCTTGAGTAAAATATCTCCTGACGTTTGTACATGGGCGTCGAAAGCGGGGAGGAGGACGGGGAAACGCGTCCCCCCTATCGAGGAATCTGAGGGAGACGTCCCCCAAAAAATTGATACCCAAAGATGCTTAAAAATGACTATTTGCAGCGGTCATTTGCCATTGTAAACAGCCATGAAAACAGAAACAAACATACAAAAGAATGTTGATGCTGGTCGGTTCTACCGTACACAAATAAGACTTCAGTTCAGGTGAATGTTAACCCGCGCTCCAGTGGCGGTCTCAGCCAACTTCGCCCTAGTGGGGGGGGGGGGGCATATGTTACCACCCACCTCTAACTCAAAAACTAAGAGGGCTAGAAAGACGCGGTAAAAAGCAGTCGATAGCTCTCAATGCGTACGTTTGAAAGTATTTCGGTCATTTTTTAACCTTAGAGCAATATTGGGGTCACCAGAGGTCATCAAGGGTCAAAATTTGCCAATTGTCATTATATTTTTCAGAAAACATGGTAGCTAGAAAAACGCATGGAAGAGCAATCGATAGCTTTTGAACTTTTCTTTTGAAAAGGTCATTATCAATATTGACCTCAGGTCAACGGTTTAGCCTCCAGAGGGCAAAAACTCCAAAAATAGCTGTTTTTACGAAAAGTGTTTTTCGACAATAACTTTCGACTACAAAAAGCCACGACATTTCTATTGCCAAAATCGTGTTCCCCTCGCCGAGACGCGTCGAATGAACTATAGTTTGACCTTGCAAGGTCAACTTGAAAATTTGATCTCAGGTCAAGGTCATGACCTGACTGGAAAAGGTCATGTTGCAAATCAGTCGATCCGCAACGTCGAGCCGAACACATCTAAGGCGTTTTCAGCGCTCTAGCACGCCTCTATCAGAAGTTATTAGCGAAAAACTGTTAAATTCTGTTCGTGACCTGAGATGACCTCGGGGACATAACGAGGGGTACAGTTGCCATTTTCCGGTTCAGTGTGTCAATTTTATCTATGTCTCGATGTTTGAGAGTGTCTAGAATGGCGTTCGTGCAAAACAGACGCTTTTCAATTTTCTCCCATTGACTTATAGGTAATGGAGAGGCCGCAAAATTGACCTGACCTTAGGTCACCGATATCAAAATTCCGAGATAAACATTTTGTAGATAATGTTGCTCTAATCAATCGCTGAAAGTTTCAAGGCAATCGATCGATCGGTGTAGCTATGACGAGCATTGAACGTTCATTGTGACATGTATGACTAGATAAGTGAAACTTTTTTAAATATAAAGGTACTTTTATATGTATATAAAGGGCTTTCTATAATACGGTACCTTTATATTTAAAAAAGTTTCACTTATCTAGTCATGACGAGCATTCTTATTTTTCCTGAGGTGAGGTCACTTGGCGTGACCTGGTGACCTGACCTAAAGGGACCTGGGTCTGAAATTTTCACAACATGTGCGGAAAAGATGCACAAACAGGTGTGCCAAAAATGGCGGCGCTCGCGCCGCCGTTTTTGAGATATCTGCGAAAAACCGCAGGGGGGGGGGGGTGTTCAAACACCCCCGGCCCGGCGCAGGTTAAAAAGAGGCCAAAAACGAGGTATCGATCTCAAATTTGGTATGTCGATGCAGGGCGGTAGTGACTATAGCGTACGTTCAGTTTTTCGAAATTCCATTTCTCGGGGGGCATTATATCCAAAATTATATCGGGCATTTTATCCAAAATACCTATCACTTTTTGATTTTAAGGGGTCAAATCCAAAAAATTGCACAATGCTGCGATAGCAGTTTTATAGCCCTTGTAATTCTACAACTTTTATGCCAGAACTTTTTTTTGTATCTTCAAAGCTGTAAGCCTGACAGCTCTTCCTGTGAAACCTTTTCTTGGGTCGAAAATGGCAGAACGTGACGTCATTCTGACGTGTTTTGTGGCAAATCTGTCATAGCCTTTGGAAATAGTTTAAGTCACAATGTGTAAAATTGATGCTTGGAAGGGTCCTGAAAGTTTTGTGACGATATCTGCAGTAGTTTAGGAGATATCTACGGAAAAGGACGGGGGGGGGGGGGGCATTTCGGCTCCCTACGGGGCGCGGGTTAAGCTTTATTAGCCGTTTTCACGACGGGCTATCCGTCGAATGCACCTGATTTGACCAAATCTGCACCTAGTTTCTTTTACAGCAAATATCTTCATTTTATGAATATATTTCAGTGTTTTAATCGATGATGCTTTCTGATAATATGAGTATGACAAAGCAGGCATATACAGGGTGGAAAGTAATTACGCGAACATATTTTTTCGTTTTCTAGCAATGGAAAAAACGGCGGTGACATAAAAAGTTCGTCTTTTACTACATCCTTATCTAGTTACGATACACTGACAAAAGCGTTCTGGCAGCATTGTCATCAGCATGTGAAGCACTGTTGGCCAAAGCTTTACCCACACCTCCTGGAGCTGTCCAGTGAGGCAATCGATGTTGGTGGCTCCTTGCAGCTTTTTGACGTTCTCCTGAAGAGTCACCTGGATATTTTTGATGGAATTGAGGTCTGGGGTATTCCCAGATCAGCTTTTATATGACCAGAAGAAAACGGGTTTTCACAGCATCTAGCTTGCTCCTTGTTGGTCCCGTGAAAGGAAGGACTTCAGCAATCATGAAGATGAGTTTTTGCGTCGGGCACAAATGTTCCCTTGACCATTTTGCCCCTTTTGCTGCACGGTGGATCAGACGGAGACACTCGTATGAGAGGATGTTCCACTGGTTGTATACTTTATTTTTAGTGACTTTTTGGGCGCTACATGCAATTCTGACACCACCCGGGGGCTCATGACCCACTGATGTGTTCCTTTGCCGGATGTTTGAAGATGGTGACGGACGGGACATAGGACGCATCAGCAGCCCCCAGAGCAGTTGTTCTGCAGGTTTGACGGATGAAACAGTTTCACAGATGTCTCACCCAACCACAAATCCAGCTGCCTGTCCTCCTCTGTCCAGCTTTGGTGGTCTTTAGAAAACTGCAATCGACAATCTTGCTATTAATTCGTGAATTTTGGTCATCCCGAGGGTTTGTGCGGCTTTATTTTCGAATTTTCACGTATTTATGTGCGAATCGTGATACCTTAGATCGGGTACCCGGCCAGAGTGGGCTATTTTGCCAGTTTTCGGGTCGACTGGCGTCGTGTTGTCGCCGACATGGTGAACACCCGTCCAGCGACCGAATCCGCTGAGGTTTTCCTGCCGCGGACGACTTTGCTTTTTTAGTCCTCTCAAGTGTTAGGGGAGAGTGGGGCAATGGCGGACGGTGGGTAATGCCGGCCACCCATCTCTAGTGAGTATTTTATCCATCACTAATCAGCTGATGTTGTTTACATTTCAGTTGAGCGCCATTCTAGCACGTGGTGCAAGTTTTGTCACGGTAGCTCCATTATTTTCATTTTTATAGCGTTAAATGTGTTTTTCGTATCTGATTTTTAATTTTTGTTGCATCTATTTGCTGACTGTGAAATGTGTTAACGCATTTTCAGAAGTGCTGCTTTGCAATGACCTTCAATTAAGCCTTTCTTAGGCGACTGCTGGATGTGAGGCGTTTGCGGCGCAATGCTTTTGACTGCTGCCTGCTTTCTTAAAATAAAGCTGACCTCGGGGTAATACCGGACACGTGTCCGGAATGACTCCACGCGGTTTTGTTTGCGACTTCTCTCGTTAAAGCTCAACGTTTCGGGTTGCTGTGTTTACGGCTGTGTTAGTTTGCTTGCTGTGTTAACGGTTGTGTTAGTTTGCTGCTCTGTTGGCGCCGCGCTGTTGTGTTGCAGCGAGTGCAGTGTTGTGTTGCAGTGCAGTGTACTGTTAACTGCTGAATACAGTTGTCGTTTCTTAATTCTCACTTAAATTTCCATCGAAAGAACGGTTTAAGGATGAATACCACACTGAAAACAATTTAACCCAAGGCCCGCGAGTAAACCGGTGTTTTGCGGGTACCCCTATCCGCAACCATTTTTAACCACCCTCCCAGGAGTACAGTAAGGTCCCATTGCAGTGTAGTCGTCCCTGCTCTCAGCGGACTTGTTCGCTGACAGCGGCTATATCCGCTCAGAGCAAGTACGACTACACCGCAATGGGACCTAGCACTAGGGGAGAGCGGGGTCAAATGTAACACGGGGCAATTGTAACAGTGCTAATAATTCATAAGCTTACCAATAGAATGAGCTGATGTTCAGACTGAAAATGCGTTATTCTATACTGCCTTTCCCAACGGAGTTTGAAGCAAAAGTGCCGGGTATGTCGATGGCTGTGCACAGTAATGTGTTTTTGAGAGCATTTTGTAAATTTTTATTCCGTTATATTTGATTAGCTCATTCCCGCCATTGAAAAGATATCGACTTTAGACTTTGTGTATGCGTTGGCAGGCTTGTTGTCGATAAATTGAAAGCATTAAATGCTGTACATGCAACATCTTTTTGCGGCAGTTTCGTCTAAAATATGTCAAGACGCGACGGGGACAATTGTAACATTTTTGCTGGGGTCAAATG